TACGAACAACAGTACGAACATCAGTACGAACATCAGTATGAACAACAGTACGAACAACAGTAAGAACAACAGTACGAACAACAGTACGAACATCAGTACGAACATCAGTATGAACAACAGTACGAACAACAGTAAGAACAACAGTACGAACAACAGTACGAACATCAGTACGAACATCAGCACGAACATCAGCACGAACATCAGTACGAACATCAGCACGAACAACAGAACGATCATCAGTACGAACAACAGAACGAACAACAGTACGAACAACAGAACGACATCAGTACGAACAACAGAACTTCCTGTCGAGCTGAAAACTAAACCCATTGCTTGCATTTTCTGTTAAAACTCAGACAGTGAAAACAGATTAACTTATCTTGGATTAGACATAGGAATATAGTGACCTAAATTTAATCAGAATAATTTTTGACCTTGTTGATAAAAAAACTATTTCCAATAAGTGTTAGGAAACAGACTGATACGGTGTATTTACCATTTACCCGGTAGTAAGAGCTCTTGCTTCGATGTAAAAAGTGATGTATGTTCGATGTCTTCATATTAATCAGCTGCTAAAGATCTGATGAAACATCTGAAATAGTCTAAGGTTACATCAACGTACAAATACATTCTTTTAAACCTGCTACAACATAAACTTTTCTTAACTATAATATTGTTTGATATAACCAACTTATTACATGTAAATAACTTAGCTATTACCTCATGGTTCTATTAAATAACCGCTAAGCTCTGACAGGAAGTACCCCCAAACCATTCTAATTAGTGTATTTAGGATATAAATACAATATGTTTGAAATAAGGAGACTAAATATTAACAGCAGTTTCAGGATAAACTGTTTAAAAAATCCTAATGGGTCAGAAGCTCTAGGAAAGTCTGCTGCTATAAAATCAGCTCTGAGCTGCTCACAGGAGCGTAGGCCTTAAATTCCATCATATGTGTGAAAACATCCCCGCTCTGAAAGAACATTAATCAGCCAGGATGCCACAATGACTCAGCATAATGCCACAATGACTCAGCCATGATGCAGCCATGACTCAGTGTGCTGCAGTCATAGCACAGCCATGATTCAGCATGGCACAGCCATGGCACAGCCATGACTCAGCAAGCTACAGCCATGACAGGGCCAATACTCAGCTTGCTGCGGCCATGACTTTACATAAGTCAGCATGATGCAGCCAAGACTCAGTATAATGCAGCCATGACTCAGCCATGACTCAGAATGAGTCAGCAATGATGCAGCCATCATTCAGCCATGACTCGGCATGATGAAGCCATGAGGCAGCATTGACTCAGTCTTGACTCTGCTATTACACAGCCATGACTCATTAGCGACTCAGCCATGACTCAGTATGTTGCAGCCATGACTCGGCCATGACTCAGTGTGCTGGAGCCATGATTCGGCCAATACTCAGTATTCGGCCAATGACTCACCATGACTTAGCATAATGCAGCCATGACTTGCCCATGAGTCAGCATAATGCAAGCATGACTCAGCATGAGTAAGCCATGACTCAGTCAGGATGCATCCCTGAAACCAGGAAGCACAGCTGCTGCAGCAATGCTTATGATTGTCACCCAGGTTCCATCTGCAGTTCATAGAACTCCGTCTATAGTTCCTGTTGTGAACACTGTTGGTGATGTTTGGGTGTGTGTGTACTTTAGCTGAGTGAGAACATATTTTTTGTATTTTATCAGTGAAGTGAGGACCTTTCTTTGATCAAGAACTTTGGTTTAGGACCAAGGTGTGATTGTTTGGGTTCTTCTTTCTATAAGTGAATGTTTCTGAACTATTTTTGTATCAACATGTGAACATTGTGAAAAACAGAGAAATGTTCTGGCTTGGTTCTAAGCTTATTTACTGGGACCATCCCCGCTCAGGTCCGATTAGTATCCCTTCCTGTAGAACCAGAGAGGGATGTTTAGGAGAACAAAAGAGCTCACCTGTCCAGCTCTCCCTGCAGCTGGTACAGGTGTGATGTTGGTGAAGCAGGGAGACTCTACTGGTGGGGACCCATTAGAACCCAGTTAAACCAGGAGCTGTCGGTCAGAGAGCAGCACCGATCTTAGAACAACTGGATCACAGAACCACAGGTCCATGTCAGGTATGTAGATTCTCAGCCAGTTCAAGGTTGAAGGTCAGGACAGGAAGGGACTGTTTGGGAAGATTTAAAGAGAAACATGGATGCAGTTCTTTGGTTCCCTGCAGTCCAGTGGCCTGGCCTCCTTTAGACTATTGGTACGTCCAGCTCACCCTGGTTCTGTTTTTGCTCCATCTATGAGTCTGTTGAGAGACTTAATAAGTCCAGAAGCTCATAAAGTGGATGAACTTCCTATCTGGTCAGAACCCTGAAGGAATGTTCTGATCAGATCATCCGTGGACCCAGATTACCAAGGGAACACCAGGCAGTTACCTCCAACGGTGGAGGCAGACACAGAGGAGGCCTCCTGGAGGATTGAGAAGGTGCTTCTACTGGATGGAGGTCCCGCTGGTTTTGTCCACAGGTCCTGCATCCAGATCTACAGCTGATCCAACCATAGATCCAGCCATCAGAGACAGACTGAACCACCTCCCAACCACTGGACACAAGGTATCATGGGAGATCTTAATGCCTTGTCTGGAATCTTTACTGTTTGGGTCAGTGAGTTTATTTTTGTTTTAGAAGCAGCTCCCCTGCTGATCCGTTTAGGTCGGGTTTTAACTCCAGACGGCATCAGTGCCTTAATGTGTTCACCTTCTGTCACGGTGTCTTAACCTCCCTGGAAATTAACATTTCTGCTCTGATCTCGTTTGTAAAAGATTTTTAGAATTTCTATGTGAATATTTCTATGTGTTATTGATTAAAAAAATACCAACAGAAAAACTTGTCTGACATCCGTCTGCTTCCTTATGAGGTCATAAGTGTCCATCTTTTTGTGTTCTTGCACTGCCGAAAATCAACCAGCAGGTGGCGCAACACTGTGGTTTGCTGCTCGGCGTGTTTAGTGAAGCAGAGTTCAGGTGTTTTCTCAGAGTGTTTGACGTCATTTTTCGTCTCCACCCACCTGCATTTGAATGCTGCAGCTGCACTTATGTCTGCGGGATGTCCAGCGAGCTGTGGTGCCGTCTCCTCAGAGTCATGTTGCCTCCAGTGCAGAGCTTGCTTAGCAGATAGATTGAGCTCTGTCAACTAGAAAACGTTTGACCAGTTTGAAGGTTGGATGCCAAATGTGTACAGCTCATGGAAGCTGCTCCTCTGAAGGTTAATAGAGCAGCCTGTGGTCCTGTAGCAGCATTTAAAGTAGCTCAAGCCCATCTCCCTGTGACCTCAGCATCAGCATCAAAAGGCGAATAACTTCTAGATCATAATTTCTAGTTTTTCTCCAAGCATTCCTCAAAACAAAGCGGATGGATTCAGGTCCAGTAGCCGCTGGTGAATCAGACAGGAAATGCAGAACAGATGCACCCTCCCCCTGCAAAAAAATCAGATGCTACGCTCCAAGCCCAAGAGAGGTTTAAGGAGGGCCTGCTGAGGCAGATCAGACGGGTCCTTTTGTGGCTGCTGACCTGGGACCACGAACCAGTGCAGTTAACCAGAACTAAACTGGAAACCAGTCACAGTGAATTGCATAGCAGAACATTGATGTCAACAACCAACTCCTCACTTTATGGAAAACAGAGGGATCAAAAGCAGGAAATGTATGGCAGGCCGTCTGTCCATTTATTCAGCGGTTGGTCCCTCTGGTTCAACATGTGGATGGGTCCTTTTACAGCGAGACAGCCGCTTTAGACAGCAGAGGATTGGTGTCCATTTCCAACCAGTGGGATGTTTGGGTTAAAATTATCTCCGCTGTGCTTCTTTGCTGCTTCAATGGCTCCTTCCTGGTCCTCCTAAGTAGAGGAGGTGGCTCTAAATGTAATGTGTGGATGAACACACCTTCCTGCTCTCTATCACTGTAAATAACCCTAACCCTTCACTAAAATGATCAGCACAAACAAACGTACGAGACAATGAGGATACATAGTGGCATAAAACTATATCAACACATATGAATGAAGAACCAAAGAAAAAGAAAGCTGGAGTTAGTTTAGGCAGTAGGTAGCTTTAGGAGCAGGTAGCATTAGCAGTAGGTAGCATTAGCTATAGGTAGCTTTCGCTGTAGGTAGCTTTAGCAGTAGGTAGCATTAGCTATAGGTAGCTTTAGCAGTAGTTAGCTTTAGCAGTAGATAGCATTAACTGGAGTTAGTTTAAGCAGAAGGTAGCTTTAGCAGTAGGTATCATTATCTGTAGGTAGTTTTAGCAGTAGGTAGCATTAGCTATAGGTAGCTTTAACAGTAGTTAGCTTTAGCAGTAGATAGCATTAACTGGAGTTAGTTTAGGCAGAAGGTAGCTTTAGCAGTAGGTAGGTAGCTTTAGCAGTAGGTAGCATTAGCTATAGGTAGTTTTAACAGTAGTTAGCTTTAGCAGTAGATAGCATTAACTGGAGTTAGTTTAGGCAGAAGCTAGCTTTAGCCATCCATCCATCCATCCATCCATCCATCCATCCATCCATCCATCCAGATTTCTCCCTTTCTCCATATAGGATAACATTTAATCGTTCACGCTCTCCGTAGTTCCCGTATGGCGCGAGCACAGGGCGGCTGCTACGCGCCTTCAGCGAGCATGCGCGTTTCCTGTCGCTTGCGTGGTGAATCATGCCGCCTGCGCTGTGCGGAGATGCAGAGGAAACCGTATCTGATGGGGAAACGCAGCTCGACGTAACACCGGTATTTCCATCTGGAAAACGCTGTTTTGCTGCTGGAGTCCTCCTCACTCTCCATCTCTCTGTGTGTGCTGTACGTTAACACCCGCCAGCAGAAACACCCACCTACCCAACTGACAGACGGAATCTCACTATACATCAGCCATTCTCATCCTCCCCTCTCTCATGACAAGGCGAGCACGAGTCCTATCATTAAAAAAAGGTTAATTGTACGGCGTGCAATAACGGGGTGTCAGCAATGGTAACTGCGTTATAGTTACAGTAAAAGTAATTAGTTATATTACCTCGTTACTAAAAAAGGTAACGGCGTTAGTAAAAAGTAAAGTCGCTCCGTCCATCCGGAGACCTGACCAGTTAGCAGCTAAAGTCGCTCCAGGCGCTGAAACAGCGGCAGGGATTAAATCTAAAAACCTCTTGCCATAAACTTAAAATGATCAGCGTAGCTGGCTGGAAGTGAGGAGGAGGAGGAAGAGGAGCAGGAGAAGGAGGCGCTGCCTGCCGCACATCAGCTCCTGCCTTCAGCCCGAACACACACAGCTGGTCTGGGTCCGAACCGTTCAGAACCGAGCCTCCATCTCCGAACCCAGCTGTGGATCAGAACCGAGAGGTAGGAAGGCGCTCCGCTTTTATTCCTCTTCTGGGTTCCGGTCCACGTCCCAGAGCTCCGGGTCAGGACAGACCCGGCAGGGTAAGTGACTCCCTGCTGTTTGCATTCATGATGGTCTAACGGACCGGGTCCAGTACGCAGAGCAGAACCAGTTAAAAGTTCTGGTTTCATTCTGGATCAGAGCACCTGTTGCTCCGCTGGTTCTGGATCACGTTCTACTGGATCCGCCTCTGCTGGCTTTTAGACGACTAGTCCCGGTTCAACTGGACCAGAACCAGTTCTAGGTTTCCCTCCAGGTCCTCTATGAGTCTTTGCTTCCCAGAATGAAAACCTGCTTCGACCCGCAGGTTGTTCTGAAAGGAGCCTTTCATTGCATGTGGACCGGTACAGGGTCCAAATGCCCCCCACCCACCTTAAGTTAACTTCCGGGAAAAAAAATTGTTTGTAAATCAAACATTTTCCTTGATGTTATTTGATCTATTTTTTTTTTCTGATGTCACCTTGAAGGAGGATCCAGTAGCTGGTCCAGATTCTAATCAACCCTTTAGAACCAGAACCATGAAAAACGGGAGGAAATTAGAAAACATCCCAGTTTACAGAACCGCAGAACATTAATGGCAGCAGCAGAGAAACAGGAGGATGAAGAGCAGATCCATGACTCATCATCATCATCATCATCATCATCATCATCATCATCATCATCAGGGGGAGGAAGCAGCTCTGTAAAGAAGCATTTGAACTTTGGCTGCTAAGGAGAAACACAAAGCAATCCTCCGCCACCACCGTGCTTCACAGCTGGTCTGAGCTCTGTGTTCCGATCCGCTGGCTTTGGTTCTGTCCATCATCGCCCATGATCCATGGATCAGGGACGATGGTCCATGGTCCATCATGCTGACCTCAGTCCTGCATGATGAACAGATCCAGCTCGTTCTAATAGAATTAATGTTGGACTAAGATTGTTTTAGAACCGTCGTTCAGACGCATTCTGTGCCGGTGTGTTTCTGTCTGGGATCTGTTTTGATCGACTGATTGACTATTGATTTCACAGTGGAGAAAATTACTCATTCCATCAGCTGAAATAGCTGAAATAGTCAAAAAGAAGAAGAAGGTGCCAAAGGAGGAAAAGGTGCATGATATATATACAATATATACAGTTTTTTATATATTTTTATTTTATAGCAGGATCATTATACTGGATTGTTGCACAGGCTGTTTCCATGGGGATTTATATAGATGGATAGTTATATATATAGTTATTGCTCTGGGTGTCAAATATAGAGAAACAGGTTATTGCACAGCGTATTAAATAGTAATTGTTCTCCATTGCAGCAGTTATTGTGGTTGTAGTGTCTCATTGTAGAGTCTGGTGGCAGCAGGAATGAATGACCTGCAGTAGCGCTCCTTTATCCTAACAGGCTGTAAAAGTCTTTGACTAAAGGAGCTGCTCAGCTCCTCTCCAGTCTGCTGCAGAGGGTGGAAGGTGGTGTCCATGATGGATGGAATCTTGGACAGCATCCTCCTCTCAGCCACTTCCTCCACTGAGTCCAGAGTGCAGCCTAGGACAGAAACAGGCTTTCCTACCAGTTTGTTCAGTCTCTTTCTGTCCCGCTCTGCGCTGCCAGGGGCCCAGCAGACAACAGCGTAGAGGAGAGGAGGGCTGATGCCACCACAGAGTCAGAGAAGGTTTGAAGCAGGGGCCTGCTCACTCCAAAGGACCTCAGCCTCCTCAGCTCTGGCCCTTCTTCTACAGGGCGTCGCTGTTATGAGTGCAGTTTATTCATGGCGGGTATTAATGGCCGTTCACACACAGGTCGCATTTGAAAAGACCAGATTCGTAACGGATTCAGGACCACATAGCCAAGTGGCCTGGGTCGCATTGGAAAAAATCGGATCTGTGTTGTTCAGACAGCCATGAAAAGATCACATTCATATGGGCATATGGGCAAAAAAAATCAGATTTGGGTCACTTCAGGCTGCAGTGTGAACAGAGCCTATGTCCTGCCCCTGGATGTTCACAGGGGGATGAGGTGGGGGTCTTCTCCTCAAGTCCATCACCATCTCCTCTGTCTTACTGGTGTTCAGCCACAGGTGGTTCTCCTCACACCAATCCACAAAGTTAATGACGATCGATGGATCCTCCAGCTCCTTCCCCTCAGAAACTCAGCCTGCAATGGCCAAGTCATCGGAGAACTTCTGGAGATGGCAGCTGTCCGTGTTGGAGATGAAGGGTGAAGAAGAACAGAGACAGATCGGTCTGGGGGGCCGCAGACCTCTGACTGACAGCCGTCCCATCTTTGCCTCCCTGATCCGAACCCTACGCTGCTCTGTCTGGTTCAGGAGGACTTTCAGCTCAGGAGTCATCCATGGGTGGTTGTTTGGAAAGCTCCGTAGCTGTGGTGTGGATACAGTACAGAAGGTCACGTAGTCAGTGATGCATTCAGTCAGGCTGATGATGTCATTACCACAGGCATTCATTTCATTTGTTTCCTCAAAGGTTACATAAAAAGCTGGAACAGGGACTCGATGACGGCAGCCTGCTGTCTGGGGAACACATGCTGGATCCATTAGAGATTCTGCAGAGCAAAACGTCTAAAGTTACAGGAAAGCAGGCCAACCTTCTCATCCTGAAGGTTTTCCTTCCTTGGAAAACATCCTGAAAATCATCAACTAGCTTCTATGCAGCTTTAATGTCTGGAACAGAATCAGAAATACTTTAATAATCTCGGAGGAATTATCTCTGTTACACGCTGCAGGTCTACAAACAACATATTGAGCTCCCCTGCTGGGCCAGTGTGTCGTGGAGGGGGGGTGAGACATTGTCCAAGATGGACTGAAGCCTGGACAGACTCCTGTCTGCCACAGAGGGTCCAGCTCCTTCCTCACAACATGGGGGAGGAGCTGGACTCTCCTCACAGACTGCTGATGGACTGTAGGGGGGAGGATGTGCAGAAAACATCTAGACGCAGAAGCTTTAAACCAGAACATCAAAGGTTCTTTAGCTGATTTCTTGTAGAAAGCCTCCAAAAATATGTTAACAGTTTACCTCCAAAATAATCCAATCCAGATCTCACCTGTGGCCTCAGTGGCAGGATGGGAAGGCATCAGCAATCCCTTCAGATTGGCAGCAGCTGCTGCTCCTACCTGCAGATTGTTAGGTCATCTCCAACCTATGTGATGTCCATCTTTCTGCAGCTTTTATAATTTTGACAATAAAAAAATGATAATAAAAGCTTTCTGAACTTTTCCATTCCTCAAAGTGCAGCAGTGATCAAATGTAAACAGTGTGTGAGAAAAAACATGGTGCAGCGCTGGGATGAAATGTCTTTAATGGAGGGAAGAGGAGCCCCCATGATCCTCTCTGCTGTTCTCACCTTCTTCCAGTCTGAGGTGCTGCAGCCTCCACATCACACAGTGAGACAGCTGGTCAGAACGCTCTCTATGGTGCTTCTGGAGAACGTGGGAAGTCCAAGCGCTTCTGGTTCCTTTTGACCAGTGAGGTGGTGTTTCCAGTCCAGGTGAGGGTGTCTGTGATGAATTTGGTGCTGCTGACCACCTCTACAGCTGAGCTGTTGATGTGCAGTGGAGCGTGGTTAGGACGGTTCTTCCTGAAGTCCACCATGATCTCCTTCATCTTCTCCACCTTCAGGCTGTTATCTTTGCACCACCAGCTGCTCCACCTCCTCTCTGTAGTCCAAGACGTTGTCGTCTCTGATGAGGCCCACCACCGTGGTGTCGTCTGCAAACTTCACCATGTGATTGGTGGTGAACCTGGGGACGCAGTCGTGTGTCAACAGGGTGAACAGCAGGGGGCTCAGGACGCAGCCCTGAGGGGAGGGGCTTAGACTGATGACATCAGAGGTGCTCTGTCCGACCCGGACTGACTGAGGTCTGTTGGTGAGGAAGTCTAGCAGCCAATAGCAGAGGGGTGTATTGAAGCCCAGCTTTTCCAGCAAGTTGAATCATTTCCAGACTTTTAATTCACAAACTCCCTCAAATACATCTTGGCAGAAGCAAACAGTTGCATTAGCCTGGATGCAGAAATGTTTTAGTCCAATGAGATGTGTTTGACGTTACCATGTCAACCAGAGGCTGAAGCAAAACAAAGATGGCTGCTCTGCTTTTAGCTGGAAAAGCCTCTATTTGTTTCTGATGGGATTTCTGTCTCAGTGGATGGAAAGACGTTCGCTGATTCCTCCTGAACAGATTTGGTAAGACTTTGATTCATCAGGTAACTCTGCTGCTGTGATTGGCTGAAAACATGGGAGGCTGCAGAGCTTCATGCAGACGGAGATGACCTCAAACATCTGCTGCAGCTTTTAGTTTGGTTCTCACCGATATCCAATCAGCTTCACTGGTTGGTTTAATCCCACTTCCATTAATGATCAGGAATGTTCAGAAGCGACGTCCTCCTGCTTTCTATTAAAACCAGTTTGGTGTCTGGTGGAGCTCAGCGATTTTTTCGCAAACTGTTTGTTTGGATTTTTTAAAATAGAGGAATATGTAGAAACGAGCTGCAGACTAACTGATTTTCTCTAACCTGAGGCTTCCTCCTCTCTCTGACCTCGGTGATGGAGAGCTGGCTCGGCTGTGGTTCTGGTTCCGTTCATATCCAAGCGGGTTCTCCAGGTCCATCGTACTGCAGGTTCTGGATGCAGCACAGATGCATCCAGAACCTGCAGCTCAGTCAATCTGGAGCTGCCGCCTTTAGGTCCAGAACCTTCGGAACCACTTATTAAAGGTTCTGCCTGTTGGTACCACTGTGGCCCAGTGGAACTGTTTGCTGTCTAAACATTTCTACATGAAAGTGAATGAGGAAAGTTCCAATTAAGGCCCAATATGAGTGAACAGAACCTTTAAACCTCAGTTCATCTGACTGGTTCCATCTTTTGTGATGTTTTGTTGTAATGAGCAGAACCAGCGGGTTCTAATTGGACCTCTGCGGGTTTTTCTTCAGAACTGAACCAACGATGACCCTGGTTCTGTCAGTGAACCCTTTCCTGGACCCAGAGGGAGATGCTCCGCTCTCTGCTTACCCCCCCATCTGGGGCACGGATCGGAGCAGGAAGACCCGGCTGGCTGACCCGGACCCGGCCTGCAGCTCTCCAGGTGCAGAATCATTCCTGAATATGATTTTAGGTTCCAGACTGAAGATGATCTGATTCCTTCTCCTCTGAGCAGAAGCTTCCTGTAGAAGAGGTCCTGATCGGGGCTCCATGTCCAGATCCGCCTACTTCAAGAGGAAGTTTGCTGCTGATGATGAAGCTCCTCTCCTCAGCTTTCGGACCTACTGCCAACCTGTAAGTATTTAGGTGATATTACCTGTAAGTATTCACCTTCCAGAACCCAAACATTAGAGCTTAGTTTCTACAGTTCCCCCCAGCGGACTTGAACCCGACGCGGTTCTATTAGTTCTGGAGCCTAATGCACTAAATCCCAACCGGAAATAGATCACAGCATCAAGATTTTCAAAATAAATCATCAAGATGTCTGAAGGTGGTGACACAGAGCTGCCTGCACACATCTGCACTGAACTGCACTTCACTGCATGTACCAAACGTAGCTGCAAAAACAAAGGAGAAGCAGTTTGAAATCCATGGCAGGCGTTTTACTGGCTCATTGGAGCTCATCTGGGCTCGGCGCGGCGGAGCAAACGCAGACTAACCTGGAAACAGCTCCCAGGTTCTTCATCAGACCCTCCTCTGTCAGTCGCTCCTTTGCTCCAAAGCCAGTTAGAAATGGAAGCGGCCATCTTTAGAACATCAGCAGGTCGGTTTTTATTGTCTCTTCTCAGAACCTGAAGCTTCGGAGCTCTGAGTAAAGATGTTTTCAGCTGGTCCAACACTTTGCAAAGGTAGGAATCTTTAGACGCTATTTCAACTCAATTCAGTTTATTTCTATAGCGCCAATTCACAACACGTGTCATCTCAAGGCACTTTACAGTTCACCAGATCATACAGTCAAATTCGATCTGATGTTCTAAAGCAGATCTTATGTTCCAACGGGAGATCTGATGTTCTAACAACCCCTGACCACCCAGGGTGCAGACCAGGAAGCAGAGTCGTAGTTTAACAGACCTCTCTGCAGCTTCTCTACTGTTACCCACTCATTACTCCATCCAGACACTGTCTTGCCCCTGAGCAAAATCTGATAAATTAGAAAAGATTCCAAAATGAGTAAATCGTGATAATCTAATTAAAATTAAAATAACCAAGGTAATAAATAAGGTAAAACTATTAAATGTGGTCTGTTTAACATGAGATCTCTTGATTTGTGATAATCAAGCAAGAGGATTATGTAAGCATAAATGAGGCAACTCCTTTAAGCTATTTCAATTTTCACATCCCCAGAAGTTCTGGGCGAGGAGGAGGAGTAGCAACAATCTTTTAGTCTGACTTATTGATTACTCCCAAGGCAGTTAATACCTACAACTCTTCTGAACATTTAACCCTTAGTTTCCCCTTATCCAAACTGCAAAGCAAGAAAACTCCTTTTTTTGTAACTTTGTATCGTCCACCAGGTCCTTACTCTGAATTTTTAGATGAGTTTTCAGAGTTCCTTTTATGATTTGGTATTAAATACTGACAGGGTCAACATAGGGAGAGATTTTAACATCTATGCTGACATTGAAGGTGATAGCTTAAGAGCAGCCTTTAATGCTGGCTTGTTCAAAATGTGAATAGTCCCACACATTCTCATCTTCATACTTTGGATCTTTTGCTGACATACCGCATAGAATGTGAAGAAATAACTGTATTTCCTCACAACCCTTACCTCTCTGACCACTTTTTAATAACCTTCAGGATTACTTTAACAGAGTTCTCCTCCCTCAAAGGAAGGTTACACTTTAGCAGATCATTATCAGATAGTGCAGTTATACATTTTAAAGTATCTGTCAGTTATCAGGCTCCTCTCCTGTGGAACCAACTACCAGTTTTAGTCCGTGAGGCAGACACCCTGGCTGATATGACGAAGGCCGATTACGTCATAGCGCGGCGCCGAGGTCTGGTCGGATTCCAAGAGTCCTCGTTATGCGGCCTTAAA